GTAGAGTGTAGGCCTAGGCTGTCTATCTCAGAAGCCACCCTCCTTCCCTCAGCCCCAGGCACTGAGGTAGGCCACCTCCTCCACAAAGCCTTGGGGGATTATCAGGCCGGCCTGAGCTTGGCCTACTTAAGTCTCCAAACACTCAAAGTCTGGGATTTATGCTCTGAGCATCTGGCTCCTTTCCATATATTCACTGTTGAATGTATCTTATGTCCCACTCTGGGACAGCAGTGGTAATGACAGTAACGATGATGATGATGGTGATGAGAGCATCAGCCCCACAGCACTCCCCTTGGAGGCTGATAGCCTTCGGGACCTCTGATTACTCAAAGGCGCCCTTTTATGAGACTAGAAGTTGGGAAGAAGGCAGACATTCTTTTTTAGCCAAACAACGCAGAGCGGACTCTCTCCAGAGTTTATGCCACAGTATAGAACATCTGATTCTTTTCAATACTATGCCTTGAGATCAGATCTCCGGGAGGACCTATTCCTCCCTCCCCTTCACCCTCCTACATCTACCACGAGCCCCTCCCCAACCCAGGATCAAAGAAGAGCAACGCGCACTGGACGTCAGATGCCCCACGGAAGTAGGACCCTGGTGGGTGAAGAAGGGAAAGGGCTGGAGGACCAGGAGGCTGGAGGGGTAGGAGATGTTTCCAGGGCCTCAGCTGATCTCAGGGGTGGCCCGAGGTTAGACCTGACAATCTGGATCTAAGGAAGAACGTGTGCCCGAGGAAGGAGTGGGGGGACAGTGAGGACGCTGAGTTTCAGGAAGGTTAAGCTAGCAGCCCACAGATACACACAGTCAGTGGCAGGGCGGGGCTGGGAGCCCAGGTACTTGAGGCTCAAATCCGTGGACCAGCTTTCTTGTGGTGCTGCCAGGGGCTTGCTGAAGGCAGGAATGGCTGTTTGTCTTCACGGCACCTGGCCAAGTGGAAGGCTCCCAGAGGCAAGGGGAACTGGGATTCTTCTCTCTCTGCACCTGCCCTGCCCCCTCGGCCAGAGGACCAAGAACTCAGTTGGCAGGGCCTGTAGTGTGTTTTCCTGGGGCCCCCACAGCTCTCCAGTCAGCTCGTGAGGAAGGTTGAGTGATGACTATTTCCCGAGTGTTGGATAGAAATGGGGTGGTAGTTCACGGAAAGGAGAAGAGGCCAGTCCAGAGACAAAAGGAAGTTTATTAAAGAAAAGAACAGAGGTAGGGTCTGAATCAGAGTCGCGCCAGCCCCTCCTGGTTTCACTTGATCTTTATCAAGTTTGTGGGTATTGCAAGAATGTGGGTGGTGGGTAGCCATGGGACGGACTACCTCCCGCAGAGGGGCTGTCAGCTTGGGTGGGAAATCCACACTCCACATTGTTCCAGGAGTGATCGATCGCCCTGCAATATTCCAGAGACGTGGGGCTTTAACTACTGTTCTGCAGGTAGACCTCTGGACCTCAGGCTTTGCCACTGTTCTGCTGTTTGACCTTTGGCTCAATCCATTTAACTCCCTGGCCCTGTTTCTCTAAATGGCTACCTCACTAAAATGGCCACACTTATGCTAAGGGGGTATCTAGGGTTTGAGGGTCCCTTTCCCACACTCAGCACCTTCTCCACGCAAACGGATTCACTTTATCCTCAGAACAACTCCCATGGCAGCCACTGTTTCCTGGTCTTTAATGAGGAGCCCAAATTTCAAAAGATCGAGGAACTTGACTAGATTCCCACAGAGGAGGTAGAGTGGCCAGGTTCATAAACATAGGTCTACCTGGCTCTAAACCAAATTAGCTTTCTTCTGGAAAAAGCCAACAGCCTGAGGACAGAAGCGCATGAAAACAGACTGAACCAGCTCCTGAACTAACCACTTCTTCACTCTATCTATGAATTCATACGGAGTTAATATACTTTCCTCATGATTTAAGCCATGTTGTACTGGGACAGCAGGAAAGTTTGGGGGATGATAGAATTGTGGTTACACGTATCTTTTTTTTTATGCAGTTTTTGACCAGGGCTGGGTTTGAACCCACCACCTCTGGCATATGGAACAGGCGCCCTACTCCTTTGAGCCACAGATGCTGCCCGGTTACACATATCTTAACATGTATCTAAACTCATAGAACTAAAAGAAAACTCCATGAAACAAATATGGCATAATGTTAAGATTTTATAAACCTGGGGAATCCATTCTTGTCAATATATTCGAAAGATTTTATGACAATTTCAGGGGAAAAAAGCAGAAGCAAGATGAGGAAGTGGAGGAAGATACGTGGGAAGAGGCCTGTTTCGATGTGATGGCTGGCACTGCTGCAGCCATCCTGCAGCCATAAAAGAAGTCAGTCTGAGGGCAAATCTGAGATGCCGGGATGGCAGAACAGAGAGATGGAAAGATGACCCTGTAGATGTCTGTTAGCTACTAAACCAACCAGAATCTCAAACCTGTCCTCCCTTTGGCCTTCCTCTCTGAGACGATAAATTTGTTTATTGTTGAAGTGACCATGAGTTGGGAGTTTCTGACACTTGGTTGAAGACACTGTCACTGATTCAGAATAGAAAATTAGATCTGAAACAGTGGGCCACTTCTATGGCAGTGGCAGTGCTGTAAAGGAGGCCAGAGAGTCATTGATGGGCTCATCTGGATTTGGCTTGGCATGAGCCATCAGGGGAAGCTGTACGGTGGCTTGTTCAGATACTTGCCAGCCATTTTAAAATTCCAATTTTATAGCAAGCTTAAGTCATCATCATGTGATTTCATCTTACTGCTCCTTTACTAACTGGTATCTTCACCGATGCAACATCTGCCTGGGCCTGTGGGGTACTCAGGAACTTTGGGCAGTTAAGAGTTGGAGGTGTTGGGTGGTGCCTGTAGCTCAGTGGTTAGGGCACCAGCCAGATACACGGAGGCTGGCAGGTTTGAACCTGGCCTCGGCCAGTTAAACAACAATGAAAACTGCAGCAAAAAAATAGCCAGGCATTGTGGTGGGTGCCTGTAGTCCCAGCTACTTGGGAGACTGAGGCAAGAGAATCGCTTAAGCCCAGGAGTTTGAGGTTGCTGTGAGCTGTGGCGCCATGGCACTCTACCAAGGGTGATATAATGAGACTCTGACTCAAAAAAAAAAAAAAAAAAAGAGCTGGAGGTGTTCAAAAATGAGCAAGGTAATTTTTCAAAAATCTAACTTGACAACAAGTCATCAATCTATGCTGGCTGCTACTTAGAATTATCTCCCATGTACAGATGCAGATGTCGGAGTCTGGGGTCTCCAGTTGCTTGGAGGAAGGTAGAGCTGGAGTGAGAGTCTAAGGTGACAAGACTTCTGGAAACCGCCCAGGTAGGGGGGAAAGTCTTCACTCTATAAAAGGCACAATAACCATGGCCGTGATGTGATTGCTCTGTAACTGTTTCCTCATCTCCAAAACAGGGAAGAATCATCCCTCCCTCTTAGGTTGTCTTAGGCTGGGAAATAATACCTGTAAAGCATCTGGCACATAGTAGGTGCTCTGTACATGGCCACTGGTTTCATTCTTAAGCAAACCAGAAGGATTCGGACTGTTTCAGTGGGGAGCAGGGAGGGAGATCCTTTTAGAACCAACTGAAAAGAGGAAGAAAATAAAACCTCAGAAGGTCCCAGTCCTCCAGGCGCATCAGGCTTCATTAGACTTTCATAACATCAGAGTCTGAGAGACAAGGCACCAGGGGGCTGATGGGGACCCAGCAGGAGAGGAGTCCACTGCCTCCTCCACAGCCCCGCCCCTCCTCTCATCACCGTGGAGACCGAGCAGGCTGCCCAGCGGGGTGCCTGCCCACCCAAGGCCTGAGGCTGCTGCAGAGGGAGGGAAAGAGGCCTGAGCAGACAGGGACCTGTCTGGAAAGCTGGGCTGGGGGTTGAGAGTGACTCAGGCTGGTGCAGGGTACGCCTGGTGGACTGTGTTTCGATCCCAACTCTGCTAGCAACTTGCTGGGTGGCTATGGGAAGAAGACTTCTCGTGGAGCCCTGGGCTCTGAGCCTCTTCAAGGAAGGGATAAAAATATATAAGAGACTCTTGGTTAAGAACACTGTAGGATGAGGAAACAATGAACTATTTCTTGCTGGGGAGAACATTGCTACATATCATTTATGGAAAAAAGGAAACTTACCAAACTGACCTGTGTGATTCCATATCCGTTTGTTGAAAGACAAATACACACAGACTGCCTCACTATTCTCACCAACAAAAGGCAGAGAGGGAGAGAAATACTCTAAAACACACATCATCTTGCCTCTGAAAAAGGGGATTACATGTAATTCTCACCCTTGTTTCTTTCTCAAATTTTGGCCAATGAACGCGATGGATTACTTTTGAAATAGTGTAACCTTAACACGCATAGCTGCCTTTGGGTGCTGACTAAGCAGGGACATTGTGCTAAATGCTTTACATGGTTTAAAGCTCCTTCCGTCCTTATAATCATGGGGTGGGGGAGGGGAAGAACTATTCTTTTCCCCACTCTGCAGGGGAAGAAACTGAGGTTCAGAGAGATTAGGGGCTTAAGGTCAGACCACTACAGAGCGGCTGAGTTGAGATTTAAAGACGCAGTCCAAAGACTAGACTCCAAAATTGTAAACATTACCACTTTCTTGTCTCAGGACAAGAAAATGGTAAAAGGTCTGTTTTCTTTGATGTTTTACTATAAAAAAACAAAAGAAATCAAAAGTAGAAAAGTGTAATGAACCCATGTGTACCTACCACCCAGCTTTAACTCCTTAGATGGGGGGATTTGGGCAGGAGCTTAGATGGGGGTGCTTAGGGAGGGGGACCAGCACACACACTCACACTTGTGAGGCTTCCAGACTCCACTTCTGGCTACCTTGGAGCCCCCACTATGATGGAGAAGTGCAGCTGCCCTCCCCCCTCCCCCCTCCCCCCTCTACCCGGTTCCTTCCTCCTTTCCACATTCTACTGACTTGCATTTCCCCAGCTGGCTTCTTTATAGGTTCCTGGTTCCCCTCCAAGGCCTTTGAGGTGTTGGCAGCTGTGGAGGACGAGGGAGGACATGGCCAGGGGCCTTGACAACGTGCTGAGACAGGCACTCCTGGTGGTGCTGGCCGCCGTGGGCACAGCCATGATAACAGCTACCAACCCTGGTGCTGTGGCCAGGATCTCCCAGAAGGGCCTGGACTACGGTAATTGGATACTTTCCTTCCCTCCTCTCCTATTCCCAAAGAGCACTTATTGAACTCTTACTGTATGCAACCCTTCAGGTCCAAGACCTGGCATGCTCACAGTTCTGCAAAATAGGTCCCCTTACCCCTGGTTGACATACGAAGAAGGCGAGGTGGGAGCTGCCCAAGATCACAGGCTGGGAAGGGGCAGAGCATGGGTCTAGAAGACTTCAAGCCCAGTGCTCAGACCACCGAGGGTCCTCATGGCCCCATTCTTCTCTCTACCCAATGCACATCTCAGGCTTCTAAGGTCCTTCTTCTCTCCAAAGCTGGCTCTCAACCTTGTCGTTTGCCTCCAGGGGCTGAGGTGGCTGAGCACAGGGAAGGAAAGTGTGGTGAAGCCCCTCCTCCACGCTCTCCCCGGTCGGTGCAGGGGCTGGAAGCCATACTGTGTGCAGTACTCCACTGGGTGACCAGAGATGTCCCCCTAGGCCACTCATCTGGGCCCAGACAAGACAGAGTGACACAGAATAGCCTGTGGAACCTGCTGGGACTTGTGCCAGGCACTGTGCTGTGGAGCTTTACACACAAGATCTCATTTATCCTCACTTCAACCCTGGACAGAACATACTGGGACTATCAGCATTCACACATGAGACTGGGCCGGCTGGACTTGAGCTCTGGTCTTGGCTGATGCCCAGCACAGGCTGCTTGATGCTGCCTCCTGGTGGCAGAGATGACCTGCAGGACAGCAGGTGATTCTCCAGCCTTAGACAAAACAAATCAAGAGGAAGGCAGATCCTCACTGGCTGGTATATCCCTGGGGAACAGGACAGGACTCAGGGAGATCTAGTATTTTACCCCTGAATTCCTAGCCCAGCCCAGGCAGAACATCTCTGAATCCTGGAGTGTGGACAGAAGGCCCTCGCGAGCTAAGAGGAAGGAGTGTGCCTTTGCTCCAAACCCAGACCTGAGGTGACCCTGATGATTTCCTGGGAGCAAAGGCTCAGACAAGGGCCTTAACTTCTGGTCTATCAGAGCAGCCTCAGTTTCCCCCTCTATTCGTGCCCCATGTTGCAATCAGAGTGAGTTTTCTGAAATGCAGCAAATTTGTTCATCTCCCTCTGCTGCCGGCTTATACCATCATTGGCTCCTTAGTGCCGTCAGAAGCTGTCCTGACCCTCTGGCATGGCATTTGAGACCCTCTAAGTCCTGGCCCAACCGACTTACAGATCCTGGCCACCTCACATTTTCCTTCCCCTCCAGGTAGAGACCCTGTACACGTTGTTTACTTTTAAACCCTTAGAAGGGCCTACCCCAGAGCATGGGCTCTAGAATCAGAAAGCCTGGTTTCAAATCCCACCTCCACCACCTGTCAGCCATGTGACCCTGAGGAGGGGCCCTGGACTTTCTGAGCCTCAGCTTCCTCATCCGTGAAATGGGGGTAGTGACAAGACCTGTTGTCTAAGATTGTTAAGATCCAACAACTTAATTCACATACATAGCGTAGCACAGTGCCTGGCACAGAATAAGAGCTTGAACAAATTTATTATTTTATTATTGTTTTTTCCTAACTGGATTTTGGAAAACACAGAGCCAGAGCTCTGTTATCTTAGTACTAACTCCTTCTCAAGTGATGCGTTTGACTTATAATAGTTTGCTAGCCACATAACAACTGCTGGTAGCATTCCTGCCATCGAAGCGTTTATTTATTTATTTATTTATTTACCCAACAAATACTAGATGGTTTCTAAGTGCCAGGAACTATGAAAACAGTAGGGGACACACTAGTAAATAAAACCGACATTGCTGCTGACCTTGGGGTGGGTTTTGGGGGGCTTCCATCTGGTAAGAGTGACATTAATCAGAGTCATGTGACTAAATGTATAATTGCAAATGGGGCTACAGGCTCCAAAGGGGACTTCTATGATATTCTGAGAATGATAACCAAGGGGCCTATTCTAGTCTACTAGGTCAGGGGAGACTCCCAGAGGAAGTGACGATTGAGGTGACCGGAAGTTGACCAGGTGAATATGGGAGGGAAGAGTTTCCTAGGCAGCAATAGCACATGCAAAGGTCCTGTGGTACCACTCGAAAAACCAGAGGTGAGGTGGTTTTGGGGATATAGCAAAGAGCAAGCAACAAAGTGGGTGTTCAATAAATACTTGCAGGACACATGTTTGGGTGTCTAGGGGATGATGGTTTAAATCAGAGGTCAGAAAACTACAGCCCACAGACCAAATCTGGCCTGCCATATATCTCTGCATGCCTGATGAGCTGGGAGTGGTTTTTGTACCTTTAAATGATTGAAAGGAATCAAAAGAAGAATAGTATCTCACATGTGAAATTTATATGAAATTCAAAATTCAGTGTCCATAAATAACGTTCTTATTGGAACACAGGCGCATTCACTGGTTCATGCGTTGTCTGTGGCTGCTTTGGTGCAGTGACAGAAAAAGTGTGACCCACCAAGCTGAAAACAGTTACTCTCTGGCTCTTTTATAGGAAACCTTAACGACCCCTATTTGGGACCCATCCAGTCCCACTGTCTGTGTTGTGGACAGGGGCCACGTGTTGAGAGCCAGCCCTGACCTGCTGGCCTGGGCTTACCAGCTGTGCCTCTGACCATCATTCCCTGTTCTCTCCCCTTCAGCCTGCCAGCAGGGGATGGCCGTGCTGCAGAAGGAATTGGAAAGGATCAAGATTCCAGATTATGCAGCAAAGTTTAAAATCAAGCATTTGGGGAAAGGGCATTATAACTTCTACAGGTGAGGCCTGTCAGAGTTCAGTCCCCAATATATTGAACTTGCAGTGTTCTGGGGCCCCCAACACCTAGAATCGCAGAGCCACAAACTGCCGCTTTCTGAGTTTAGGGTCCCGGAGCCAGTATGTTCACCTTCCCAAGGGTATCTAAGCCCCCAAGCTAAGGATGGTGAAAGTCACAAAAACTGTCTTTCCTGCGCCCACCATGACCTCGCAGGGGATATGCCGTGAACCCCAAAATTCTGCACCAGGCCCATGTATCATTTAGAATTGGGGGGGGCGGGGCTCAAGGACAGAAAATCTAATCCAAAATGTCCTAAGCCAGAATTCACTGGCCCACATGCCTGAAAAGTCTCTGGAGTAGTCTGGATTCTCGTGTAGCTTGTCTTTAGGTTCAGCCTAAGTCACAAGCTCCACCCTCTGAAGACAGAGGGGACATCAACTTTCTTTGGAGTAGCATGCAACAGTTGTGGGGAGAGGCTCCCCCAAATAAAATAGCAGTTCTGTTAAGGAGGTGTGGGTGCTGGAAAGAAAACCCATAAATATCCTTACAGAATCCATTCGTTCAACAGATTATCTTGAGCACCTTCTGTGTGTCTGACACAGCAGGCTCTGAAGCCACAATAGTGAAAAAAGACAGACACATCCCACTCGTGTGCAGAGTTTATAGCCAAGGAGATAACCTTGCTGTCACACATCCTGGGACATAGTGGATTATTGGGCCCATTTTACAGATGAGGACATTAGGGTTCAGCGTATCGAGAAACAGGATTTAAATGCAGATTTGTTTGACTTCCAGGCCCAAGTGCCCACATATTTGCCAAACACTATAGTCATAGCTTCGGGCTCCCCTTCCGTGGATGGGTGAAGGACAGGGTAGGGTGGGAGGATGAGTCTGCTTTCACCATTAACAGAGCCTGTGTGGACACCCAGGAGGCTGACTGAGCGTTCCTCCTTTGCAGTATGGATATCTATGACTTCCGGCTTCCCAGTTCCAAGATAATCCTGGTGCCCACGGTGGGCCTCAAACTCTCCATCAACAATTCCAGTGTCAGGATGAGTGGAAAGTGGAAGGCACAGAAGAGTATTGTGTACGTTTCCATGTTTGGGGTATATTGTGTGTAATCTTGCTGAAATTTGGGAGAGATTAGAGCCAGGATCTCAGAAAGTCCTGGTTTTTCCCTTATCCATCACTACATGTTATCATAGGGTTCCTACAAAATTTTGTCACATAAGAAGATTCAACATAACGCTGGTTGCTAGCTGACCATTTGTCCACCACTCATGGGACACGGGCAAGGCTATGGTGGTGCATGTTCTTAGGATGGAAAGGTAATGGGCCTTGCATGTATTCTCTTTTATCAGTTAGCTATTGCTGAGTAACAAGCCATCCCAAACTCCTGTGGCTTAACACAACAATCATAAAGGCCAGGTTCCTTTCATGCTTATAATCCTAGTACTATGGGAGGCCGAGGTGGGTGGATTGCCTGAGCTCAGGAGCTCAGAGACCAGCCTGAGGAAGACCAAGATCTGTTCTCTACACTACACCGCCACTAGACTGAGTGTCCCAGCTACTTGAGGGGCTGGGGCAAGAGGATTGCTCAAGCCCAAGAGTTTGAAGTTGCCGTGAGCTTTGACACCATAGCACTCTACTCAGGGCAACAGAGTGAGACTGTCTCCAAAAAAACAACCAAAAAACAATAATCATATGTACGATCACCAATGGTCACCTAGGTATCTGCTTGTCAGCCCGGTTTCAGTTGATTCAGGTTGGGCTCAGCTGGGGGCGTGGATCCTCATGTGTCTCCTCCTCCTCTGTGGACCAGGAGGCTTCCCAGAGTATGTTCTTGGTGATACCAAAGTGCAAAAAGGGAAGACAGGAGCATGCAGGTTCTCTGAAGGCCTAGGCTCGGAACTCATATGCCTTTGACCAAATCATATCATGTGGCCAAGGCCAAAATCAAGAGCAAGGGAACACCCACCCCCATGATAGGCAGGGGCAAACATATGGGTGCCCGGAGAGGTGAAAATTGGGGCAACTCATCCAAACTACAGCCCTGCTCAAATACTGCCTCTCACTTAGTGACTTTGCAGAATAGTAATAGTGGCTCAGACTGACCAGTCCCATCAGGAAAGTCTCCTTTATGGGGAATCTAGGGAGAAAAGGGAGGAGAAGCCCCCTGGGGTGAGCCTGCCCTCCCTCTCAAGGGCTGCTGGCTTTGTTTGCTCCCCACAATACGAATCGCCTCATTCTCTACCTGGGCTCTTTGATTGATCACACAATAAAAAATTTCACATATTGATCACGCTATAAAAAATAATGAGACTTATAGAAGAGTTGACAAATTACATCCATGTCCACTGCCTTTTCCAAAATGCATTTCATCCCTGAGGGAGAAGTCATTAACCTTATTTATTAATTAACGGGGGCATTAATTCATTAAAGTCCTTGGCTTCAAACACCCAGTCTTTTAGTCACAAAGCTGAGACGTGCAACAACAAAACTGCTGATTCAGCATCTCGGTGAGGAAAGAGAAGCTCAGAGATGGTAAGAAACATGCCCCAAGCCACACAGCAAGGGCAGTGCCCGAGTCAGGGGTTAAGAGCAGGGTTCTACCAGGTAGACGTGGGTTCAGACTTCAGGTTGGAATCCTGCCTCTACCAGTCAGCCGCTGTGTGACCTTGGACAAGCTGCCTCCTCTCTCTGCACACCACCTGCTCACCCTGTCGTGGGGATAGCAGTGACACCTACCTTCCTGCGTTGGTGTGAAGTTGGAATGGCAGCAGGGAGGAAAGGGATTGCTTTGCTCTACGCCACTGCCCTTTGTCTTCCTTTAGGCAAACCAGTGGCAATTTTGACCTGAACATAGACGGCGTCTCCATTTTTGCTGATCTGAAGCTGGGCAGTGACCCTGTCTTAGGCAAACCCACCATCACCTGTTCCGGCTGCGACAACACCATCAACAGTGTCAGAGTGCACATTTCAGGCAGCAAGCTGGGGTATGACCTCCTGGGGCTGTGGTCGGGAGGAGGGACAAAAGGAAGCACTCTCCTCATCGTGCTTGTGTCCAGAAAACATCCAGAGTGTCACCTCCATGCCAGGCCTCCTTCGAGGCCTCGGGAGTGGGACCCGCAGGTGAAGCAGACACTGTCCCTGTCTCAAGGCCTGATTTGTTCATTCGATGTGTATTTGGCAGATTTTACTGGGCATCTCTATGCCCCAGGCTTGTGCTATGTACTTGATGCCCTAAATTATATCCAGCCCACAAATCCGTAGGTGTCATTCATCCATCCATTTAGGAAAAATCTACTGAAAGGCAGTTATGCAACACTCAGTGACCAGTAAAAACTTTGTGATAGCTGACATTGGTCAGAGGCTTACCACGTGCCAAGTGCTGTTCTGAACACAGGCAGATCTCCTTCGAATCACATGATGAGTCTCTGAGAGTGGTCTCGTGTTACTCCATTTTCAGGGGAAAAAAACCAAGGCACAGAGAGGACAGAAAATGCCCTCAGTTTTCATAGCTAGTGAGATGTAAGCCCATCTGGCCCCAGACTCAGCCACATAGCTCTGTTCCCTTAAAGGTTCTGGTCCATTGAGTAAGACAACCATGAACCAAATCGTTGCATTACTAAAAGGCTCACACAGAATCACAAAAGGAGATGAGAACAGAGCAAAGGAGGAACAAAGTGTTAGGGACACATAGAACAGGAAGAGCCGACCCTGTCTAGGGCCAAGTCAATCATTCCTTGATGAAATGACATTTGAATTAGGATGAAAAGAATAAACGGGAGTTAATTAGGTAGATGTTGGGGAGAGGGTGTTTTAAGTAACAGGAGCAGCTTGTGCAAAGGCACTGTGGTGTGAGGAAGCACAGAAACAGGATGAGGCAGGCTGGTGTGGCTGGTGTGCAGAGAAGGAGGAGTTGGGGAGGGATGAGGCTGAGACCCAGGCAGGGGCCCAGCCAGCCCTGCAGCTATCAAGGAAATAGCCTTATAAACAGGTCACTAAAATAGGGGCAGATTTATTTAATGGGTTGTGTGCTGTTGGAGCCCTGGGGCAAGGGTACCAAGGTCTATTTGGAGGAAGGAGGAAGGCTTCCCAGATGAGGCCACCTCCTGAGTCCAGCCCAGGGACATCTGGAGAGCCTCATATATGTCCCTACATGTCAATTTCCAGGTGGCTGATCCAACTCTTCCACAAAAGAATTGAATCTTCAATCCGAGACATCGTTAACAAGGAGGTAGGAAGAGGTAGTGGGGGTGGGGGCTCATGCGTGGTCAGAGCAGGAGGCCCTCAGTAACCACACACTGCCCGCCTCAGTGGACACTTCTGCTCTCCCACAGACCTCTCAGCAACAGGCCTTACAGCACTTAGATTTCCTTTGTTTGTTTGTTTGTTTGTTTCAGTTTTTGGCCGGGGCTGGGTTTGAACCCACCACCACCAGCATATGGGGCCGGCACACTACTCCTTGAGCCACAGGGGCCACCCTGTTTGTTTGTTTTTGAGATGAATCTTACTCTGTTGCCCCAGGCTAGAGTGCTGTGCTGTCAGCCTAGCTCATAGCAACCTCAAACTCCTAGATTCAAGCAATCCTCCTACCTCGGCCTCCTGAGTAACTGGGATTACAGGTGCCCACTACCCTGCCTGGCTAATTTTTTCATATTTTTGGTAGAGACCAGGTCTCGCTTTTGCTCAGGTTGGTCCTGAGCTCAAGCAATCCACCTGTCTTGGCCTCCCAGAGTCCTAGGATTATGGACTTGAGCCACCTCGCCCAGCCAGGCCCATACAGGTCTTTGAAACTCAAAGGAGTCCTGCACTCAACCCAGTTCATTTCTGTTTTACCAAAGAGCCCGCCAAGGGACCAAGAACAGTTCACCCCTCACGCCCCTACCAAACTTTCACCCATGCCTACTCAGAACCCCTCTGCCCTTCTCTCCCCACCTCCCTCTCCTGCCACAGCTCTGGTAGCCTCAGAGCCTTGCTGGCTCCTTTCTCCTCCCCCACCCACCCCAGATTCCTCCTGGTTCTCCCCTCCCAGAACAAATGCCATTGATGAGGCCGCAAGCCTGGACTTGGGCCAGACCTCACTCACTGTAGCCTGTTCCTTGACACTGGAACTAGTATAAAAGACCGGCCCAAGGCAGTGCCCCCCAACCCTGCCCACACCCTGAAATCCCCGAGCCACCTTCCTCAGCTAAGAAAAGAGGCCATTCATTTGGCTAATTCCCATTCATAAACCAGCAGTTTCCAAGAATCACCTGGGCCTAGCTCAAAGGGCAAACGAGCTTGGCATTCTCCAGAAGGCAATGGGAAGCTGCTGAAGGTTTTGGGTCAGGGGTTGACCTGGTCAGATCTGTGCTTCAGGACAACTGCCCTGTTCCTATGGGCAGGATGGGAGGGGCCCCGAGTCAGGGCAGGGAGGCCCCCTGAGGTGGCATGCGCCATCATCCAGGAAGGAGACTTGGGTTTCCTGGTCGAAGACTCTGAAAGTGCTTGTAGGGAGACATCAAGTGAAACCATCTAGCTGAAGATAGGGTGCCAAAAGTGAAAAAAGAGAAAAATCAATGCGTAGTTGTGAAGATGCACAACACACTGGCTTAGCAAATGGGTTTAGGGTCAGAACCCCTAGATTTCGGTGTTGGCCTCCAGGCCTAACTAGCTGTGGAACCTTGAGCAAATTATTGTATCTTTTTTGTTTTAATTGAGAAAGAGTCCCATTTTGTCACCCTTGCTAGTGCCATGGTGTCATAGCTCACAGCAACCTCAAACTCTTGGGCTTAAGTGATTCTCTCACCTCAGCCTCCCTAGTAGCTGGGACTACAGGCACCTGCCACCACACCCAGCTATTTTTTGTTTGTTTGTTTAGCAGGCCAGGGCTGGGTTTGAACCCACCAGCCCTGGAGCAGGTGGCTGGCACCCTAACCACTGAGCTATGGGCACCCAGCCTATTCCACCTTTTTGAACCTCAGTGTCACCATCTATAAAATGGGGCACAAAAAACTTCTTCACCAAGGTGTGGAAAGATTCGTGAAATAATGCAGGCAATGTGCTCAACTGTCTGTATAACCAAGTAACAGTATGAGAGGGGGGTTAAGCTCTATGGAACAGCTGGAACAATTAAAGCGATTATTTCTTAGTACCACCTGAAAACGGCCCCTCTCTAGCCCCCAGGAGAATACTGGTCTAAATGGATGGATGATGTGTCTGGATGCTAGGAGGGGCTGGGAACAGTGAAGCATCAAACTGGGAAGGAAAAGAGGGCAGGGTGGGTGCCTGCGGGAAGGGAGCGCCTGAGTCTGCGCACAGTGTGCCGGGAGGGAAGAGCTCGCCAGGCTCCCAGCCAGGCTGCCATTTGCTGTGGTCTGGAGCCATCTGTTGGCCCTCGAGGGTGAGCAAGGCTGGTGACAATGCCTGGGGCAGCCCAGGGGTCTAGCTGGCAGCTGTGCGGCCCTCTAGCCCCTGGGCCATTTGGAGAAGAGGCCCAGGTTCCTCGGAGCCTGACGGTCTAGGTCTCAGAACTTCCAGAGCTTTGTGTGACAGAAACACCTCCAGGGAAGCCAGACTCTGTCCTTCCCTTCCTCATTCTCTCCTTCTCTCCCTTTCTCCCTTCCTGCCCTTCCTGAGCCATTTCAGGTGCACACACAGCCCCCACGCAGATGCTGCGGCAGCCCACCCATCCCCTCCTCCCTTCTGCCACCCCCAAATAACTTGATTGACAGTAGGGAAGGAGGGGAGGGAAGCACAGTGGGGTGAACTGCAAGGAAGAGTGAGGACCTGAGGAGTTTGGTTTAGGAAGTGTAGCCTTGGGGACCTGTGGGACATCTGGGGACCGTTGTTCAGGAGGCAGCAGGGCCCCGGGCTGGAGTTCAGAGGAAAGGGCTGCTGGGCTGCAAAGCAAGGACTAGTGTTGGCCACGTGTGGGAGCAGTGGCGGTGACTTGGCTGAGGCTCCCCAGGCAGAGGCTGACATAGGGGTACAAGGGGTTTATCAGGAGGCCCCAGGCAGTGGGAGGACTGGGGAGGGGACAGGAAAAGGAGCTGTACTGAGTGGGCACCTGGGGCTCAGTTGGAAAAGTCACAGGGAATGCACCTCAGAACCGTCCCAGAGGGGTGAGGAAGGTGGGGTGTTTATCCCCCCAGGCTTTTCCTGGAGCTCTGACTCCTTGGAACCTCTGAACACTGGCTGGAGAGCAGGGAAAGTCTTCAGGCAGGGAAGGGAGCTGGGGTGTGCAGAGAACGGTTCATCCCAGGTGCAGGTGACCTCCGGGCTAGACATCAGGGACTGGGGTTGGCCCTGGCAGCATCTGCGTGGGGGACACGCGTGTGCCTGAAGTGACTCAGGGAGGGTGCACGAATGGAAGGGACAGGGAGCAAAAAGCGGGGAGGGGCTCCCACACTGGCAAGGGTGGGGGGAGAAGATCTCACAAAGAGTTCTGGGGAAGAGATGGGGGGAAGACAGGAGAGGGGGCGTTTCCAGGAGAACGGCCTCCCACACCAGGGGCTACCTGGCAGAGAAGGGCAGACACCAAGGTTAATGGGGGGAAGGCCACGCGAGGGCAACTTGGAGAGTGAAGGGCTTATCCCAACACCACCCAGCCCCAAATTAGGCAGGGAAGGTTGTAATTTCAATATTGTATTCCAGCCATCCATTGCTTTGAAACAAGCAGCTCAAACTTTGGAGTCATAAAATGACCACTGTCCTTAATGCTCAGGGGATCTGGGGATTGAGACATCAAACAGGCTTAAGAGGGATGGCAGAGCTTCCCTCTGCTCCACTAGGGGCCTCATCTCAAAAGCTCAGGGTTAGCGTCTTCTGGAAGGTTCTTCTCTCATCTCTCTGGTGCCCGGGCTAGGAAGTCTTGGAGCCTCGGCCCAGCTGGGACTATTTCCCTGAACTGCTACTGTGGCCCTGATGGGGCTGGAGCTTCTCACAGAATTTGACTGTGTTCCCAGGGGGAGAGACCAGAGAAGGAGCATTTTTAGAGACCAGAGCCTTTTGTGTCTTTGCCTCTGAAGTGACCATGTTATTTCTGCTGTGCTCTGTGGCGGAGAAGCAAGTCACCGAGCCCTATTCTAGGGGAGAGTTCACAGACTCCACCTCTTGACGGGGTGTGGCAAGGCCACGTTACAGAAGAGCAAGTGAAATGGGAAATATTAGCTGCCGCGTTCCATTTTACAGATGAGGAAATTGAGGTCTAGTTAAATGGTGTAACTTCCTCAGTGGCAAAGGCAGCTTGGGACCCAACCTAGGTCTTCTCAGACCAGTGCTTATTCCACTGTGAGTCTTGGGGTTGGGAGAAGGGTCAGGAGGAAGTGGACAGGGAATGGCTTCCCTGGCCGTATACAGCAAAAGTGGGGTGGGGTGCCACCCAGACTTAAGCAGAAAGCCTAACTCTGCTCCCAGAAGCACAGATTAACAAAGACTAACCATTGACTACCTCATGTTTGTCCATTTACCACTTCATTCCACAAAGGGCCTCAGATGGCAAAAACAGACAAAACGGAAGAAAGACCAACTAACAACAACCCCACATTATAAAATAGAAAACACAAATATCCATCAGGAAGAGTTCCACACTAGGGTAAGAAATCGAATGCAGACATGTAGGTCACGTAGTCATGTACAATCATGATTTCTAAGCTGCATGTTGGACTCTGAGCTTCCTGATGGCCAAAGAGAAAAGGGAAACCTGACTGGCTACATAATTTTCAAGAAAACATTCAAGGAAAGCAAAGCATGTCTGGATCACTATTCCAAATGGACATCGTCTACTTTGGGAAGCCCTCACTGACCACTTTTTTGGTTTTCCCCAGATCTGCAAAGTAATGAACAATTCTGTGTCATCTATCCTGCAACCTTATTTCCAGAAACTGCCAGGTGAGGGCTGATGGGAATCAAGGATAGAAAGGGATTAGAAGGGGAAGGTGGGTATAGGGGCAAAGTGGGTGTGATGGAGCCAGCAAGTTCCCCAGACAGGCCTGTGCCTGAGTGGGAATGGGCAGAGCAGGTTATTTTCAAGTGGCAGGTGGCATTGGGCTAGGTCCTGTGGCTGGGCTAGGTTCTGTGGCAGGTCCAGAAGTGAGAGGGAAAACAGCCCACACTCCCTAATCTCGCAGCTTTGTAGGGGCCAAAAAGCCAAATGCCCCCAGCAATTTGGGGCAAGAGACTCATCACTGGCCTGAGATCTGATGCTGCTCACTCCTCCCGGGACCTTAATTTCCCCTTGGAGAACAATGGAGACAATAATCTCTTCCCCCAAGCACTCGGCAAACGGCAAAGAGCCGCAGCAGGCAGGGGAGGTCTCCCTCTGAGCAGGTGCTCACCCTCTGCCAGGCACCCAGGAAATGGTCCCCTCTCAGCCTCTCCATATCCCGCTGAGATAGACGTTCTTCTCCCAGTTTCACAAGGGAGAAAACTGAGCCTCAGAGGAGAGCTGAGACTTGCCCAAGGTCACAAAGCCATCAAGGGGCATAAGCAGGATCCAAATCTGGAGTTTATGTTTTCTGAATTCCAAGCCTGTACTCCAAACTGTGACCAGGGCTGCCTCCCCACAAAGCCTGGCATGGCTGGCACAAAATTCCTCTGTCCGTTTAAGAGGAATTTTCTTCCTCCAGTGCAAGGGCCCATCCTGGGCATGTTCACTGCCCAAGATTTGGCTTCATGAAGCAAGGAAAGGTTTTTTTTGTTGTTTTTTTTTCCCCTGAGTTCCAGCTTCATGCTCCCCTCCTCTGCGATCTTAGAGCACGTGGATTTCTGAGCCTTAGTTTCTTCCCCTCTAGAAGGAAGAGCTAAAGGAGGGGCCAACATTTATGTAATTCTCATTGACTACTGGTAGGAAACAAAGTAACAGTTCAGACTGAGCCAGCCAGGCTAGGCCTGGGATATTATCACTGCCTGTAACAATCCTTCCCCTGGGATTTGAGCTGGCGGGCAGGGCACTGGGCACACACCTTCTCGTGTATACTCCCAGCATCTGTGGAAGTCGCTAGTACCACGCCCTCTACAAATGGCAAAAAGTGGTTTGAAGAAGTACAAAGAGTTTTCCAAGGTCATGCCAAGAGCCGGGTCTGTGCCCTTGACCCTGTGCTTTAGCCACTCTTCTCAGGGCTATTAGAAGAAAAGAGCAAGGTAATATCTGTGATGTGGGAGGTGGGTTCATTTTCCTATAAGGAGAACCAGGGAGGGCTTCCTGGAGGAAGCACTGCAGTTTTTTTGTTTTTTTTTTTTT